ATGGAGAAATTTGAGACGCATTCTCCCTGGAATATGGGAGCAGAAGATTTCCTTTAATTGTTAAGATTTTTTTAAACATAGTATTGAAAGTCTCTTACAATTTATATGGAAAAAATATTAATGTAAGGAAAAGATAAATCTTTCGCATTTGAAGATGATATTGTCCATCTAAAACCCAACAGAATCACAACAGCAAATTAGTAGAATACCTAAAGTATAACACATGTTTACATAAAAATAATTAACTAGAAAGTAGAACAAAAATAAGACTATAGGGTTTTATTGAGGTTTAATAGTACACAATGAAAAGAGCAAAGAATATAGAATTAGATTGTTTTTGTAGCTATCTGATTGGAAATTCATCTTTCAGTGTCTGTTTCCTTATCTATAGAATGAGAATCATAACTGTAAATAGCTCATAAAGTTCTAAAAATTAAATGGATTAATAGATTAGAATACATGCAATAGACTCTTGACATACCAAGCATTTTAGTGTGAATTATTTTATTACTATCATGAAGAAATTTAATCATAGGACCATAGAAGGTGACAAGAATAAATAGTACATATTTATTATTAGTCCATGTTTGCAATTCATGCAGTTTATAGTCATATTGGGGAGCAGCTACATGTACCTATTAAAGGTTGTTTTGTTTCTTACATCTCTTTCCCCTTCTTTCTCCCTTCCTGCTCCTCCTTGGGTTTTCTACAAATGTCTCAAATGTGTTATTATTTATATCTGAGTAGCATTCCATTATATAGAAATACCACATTTTCTTTATCTAATTATCTGTTGATTGGTACACAGGTGGCTTTCAATGAGCCAATTTATTCCATACTTGTTTGTTCCTACAATCATTTACTATGTAACCTGTTGTTTTATAATTGTACTAACATATATGCAATATAAATTTTACCATGTTAGCCATGTTTAAGTGCATAGTTCAGTGGTGTAGTTTACATTAATCGTTGTTCAGTTCAGAGGCATTGTTAGCACACATCATTTTCTTTTTTTTCTTACACTTTTTTTCTTTTTTCTTTTTATTGGTACCAGGGATCGAACTCACGACTGCCTGCTTGCAAGGCAGGCGCTTATGCCGCTGAGCTAAACCCCCAGCCCCTAGCACACATCATTTTCCATCTCCAGAACTGTTATCTTTCCAAACTGAAACTCTGTGCCTATTAATTAATAACTCTTCTTTCCTTTTCTGAAAACCTATTACTTTACTCTCGTCTCTATAGTAGTGAACTTGCACTAGTTTCCTCATGCAAGTGGCATCATATAATATTTGGCCTTTGTGTCTGGCTGATTTCACTTAGCATAATGTCTTTAATGTTTATCTATTTTGTAGCATGTGTAAAAACTGTCAGTCTGAATAATATTCTATTGTATGTTTATACCTCTCTTTATTCATTCAATCGATGGTGGACATTTGGATAGGTTTCCATCTTTTGCCCATTATGAATAATGCTTTTATGAATGTTGTCATAAACCTATCTTTATAATTGATGTGAATTTACTTCAACATAGTAATTTTTCTATGGTGCTAAGGATTGAACTGAAGGCCTTGTAGTAGCTCTACAACTAAGCTGCAACCCCATTCCCATAGTAAACTTTGTACTGTCTATGTTCATCCTACATCATCATGTGTATCACATGATGTATCACCTTAAACATATTCAGTGGAATATATTTAAATATATCTTTAGGATCTTGATTTAAGTTTTTAGATATATAACCAAAAGTGAAAATTCTGGATCATGTGATAATTTTATTTTAATTTTAAAAAGAAACCGAACTTGTTTTCATAGCAGTATATCTCCAATAGCAGTGCACTAGGTTTCTAATTTCTCCTCATCCTTGCTCACACTTGTGATTTGCTGGTTTGTTTTTGATAATCTTCTCAACATCCTAAAATGTGTGAATTGCTGTATTACTGTAGTTCTGATTTTTATTTTTCTAGATGCACAGTAGTGATACTGTACATCTTTCCATGGGATTATTTGGTCCTTTGGAGAAAAGTCTATTCAAGTCTTTTCTGTGATACTAGTTTTGAGGAGGTACTGAAACAAGAAAAGTCTCTGCAACAGATTCAGGTGCTGTATGAACCACACTGACCTTATGAATGAGCCTGTCTGATAATATAAGAAGGTTATGATATTGGAGATGCTGTCTGATGCTCTGGCAATTCCCTAAAAGAAAATCACAGCTTACAGCCATAAAATTTTGGAGATGGGGTATGCCCTGTCAGTCAAATGCAATTTTCCAGTTGGAAAACAACTCTAGAATTGCTAGTTAAAACTGAATGAATGATCCTTGGACATGAAATGACTTTGTGCTCTGAGCTGCTTATGAACTTGGTGATATCTAACCCACTGAATCATAAAACTGGATGCATCCCAGCATGCTACTCTTAAATAAACGTGGTACATAATGAGACTGGGCTATAGCAGGTCCAGAAAGCACAAACAAAATATGTTAAGGAGACAATTCTGATTTCCACGATACTTGCTTCTGTTTTCACATTGCTCCTGGACAATTCCCTTTACCGGTTAATGAAGGAGGAAAACCACAGACCTGACTTATGAATGAATTTGCAATGATTGTCAATATTAGAAGTAGAGAGCTGCTGACTTAGAGCCTACAAGTCACTAGGAAAGGGAACTCTTTCCAATGGATAGAACTTGGGGTAAAACACATAGTCGAAAGGGGAGATGACTCGAGATATGAATCTACACTGACTGAAAAGGCAGTGGTGAAAGGTCAGCAGCTAGTCAAGGAATGATGAAAGACTAATGACAGAAGGTCTGCAGAAGATGAATTTAGAGGAACTTTTCAACATAGAATCAATATAAAGATAACTCCATTCATGTAAACACTTAAGAGCATATTTTATAGAGGAGGCTCTTAATACACAGTTAATAAGATAGCCCATTTAGTAGATGTCAGTCAACATTTTCCATATTAGTCATTGTTGTTGTTCAGTGTACCCACAGACAGGAAACCATTTGGACTTTTTCTCACTATGGTTCATTTGGCTACACCCTGCTGACTGTCCATCTGCCAAACGCAGAGGAAATTAGTGAGCTCCCAACATGGCAATGCTCCTGGTTGGGAATAGCTGGAGTATCTGCAATTATCCTCATAGAAATAACCCATATTTTCCATAGGGATTTAATATTTCTTTTCAAAGTTCTTCTGGTGGTTAATGGCTCAGAGAGTATATGAAGAATTATTTATCAGAAGAGAAAGAATTACTGTAATTATATAGCATGAACATGGCCAGAAAAATAGTTGTCACAATAAACCATTAAATAACTTGGTTTGAAAAATAAAATTCCTATAATGAATGTGAGAAAATATGAAAATTCTGATTAAATACATTGTAGGTACTTATTTTTATTATCCATTTATAGAAGAACTATTTGAAATTTAGCCAGAAACAAATTATTCTCATTACTATTAATTGAACAATTAATACATATTTAAAAATTCAAAAATCTATATGCTATTATTAGTATTTATAATTCACTTTTTAATTTTGTAGACTATATCATCTCCTAACTAAACTTGTGCATAGTTGAAAGAAACATGATAGATTTTCAAATGTGGTTTTCCTTATTTGAACTTTCAAAATCTTTTTCAAAGAAACAGGAGAAGATTTACTCTAACAGTTCCAAGTAAAACCCAATCCACAAATACATGGATGCCAGACCAATGATTTTTATTGTTGTATTTTTTTAAAAAAATACTTCACAGTCTCATTTCAAGTCTATCATAAGGTATCCTGGAGAGAGCCATGAAAATGAAGACTTGGATCATAAGTTTCCTTTAAAACTCACACTTCAAATGAAAGTCCTCTTCAGCCAGACAGATATCAGTGGCAGAAGTTTATAAAGTAGATATTTTAATTAAAAACTTTAGCGTAATTATCTTTTATCTGGGCATCAACCTGATGCTTTGATGCTTTAATGTACTTATTTCAAAAAGAATAGAAATCATGTTAAAATATCATAAAAATATTCATAGAAACATTCATTCCTCTTCAAAGATCTGACTAGATCTTTATGTGTGAAATTGCTAAGTTATTTAGGTCATAATCTTATAGCTTTGTATTTGTTGTTTTTAAACAGATGAAATAATCCATCATAGTAATTTGGATTTGAGTTTAGGCACACAACCATGCTAAATTGAAATAAACAACTAGAATTGATTTATTATTTAAGAAAAGAAAAATATATCAATAGATAATCACATTCATATAATAGAAATATGAAAGGGTAAATTTTACTGAGTTTTTAAAAGTACATATTTAATTTTGGATAACAAAAATATCTGCATTAGGTTGCTGTTAGAGAAGAAAGATAACTATATGAAAATTAAAAATTCAAATTTCTGATCACATAAAGAAAATAAATTTGTATAAAACAGAGTATATTATTGTACCAATCCTAGATGAAAACACAGAAAAACATTCACAAGGTTCTTATAAATACTGGAGCTATAAAAGTAAAGGAAAAATGAATTTTGGCAGAACCTTTCTGGAGTTATTGCCAAGACCTAAATATTCCAAAGGTGACTAAAGACATTTGATGAACTCAAGAGTATAGTCAGGTTATACAGCCCCTAAAATTTAATTTCTTTTCAGTTCTCTCAAAAAACTTTTATATGCTATAAACTATTAATACTATGAAGTATTAGATTTAAAATTTCCAAGAGAATATGCCCCATTGATATCCCTGGAAACCTTAATATAATTCTAAAATAACTATAAAAGAAAAGATTGGCCTAATCTGGCCCAATGCTAACCTAGGAAAGAGAGCCAAAATATCTATAATCTAGCAAGGAGACACTGATGTGTAAGAAATAAAGAACAAGGAGATATTTACACTACTCACAGGAAATCCCTGTTTTCCCGGTAGCCCAGCGTTTCCAGGATTTCCTGAAATGCCATCAGCTCCATGATATCCTTGTTTGCCTTTTGGCCCAGGAAGGCCTGGAAGTCCCTTGATAATTGAAAATTACTTGTGTTATAATAGATGCTGAACAGATGTTTAAGTGAGAAATAGCTTTATATTTATTGAAAGAAAGGTAAGTTTACATTTCTGGTCAAATTTTTTTTCCATTTTTTACATTCCTTAATAATTTGTTTTTGGATGCAACAGAGATAGCCTTAAAAAGTTCTCTTAATAATGGCCAAGATAATCAGCAATCTACTGTGACTGAACTTTTGAGTAACAACTTGATCCTTAGTATAATTCTATGGTATTTCTCATCTTGCCAGTCATCAGAGAGAGATCAGCTGTATGCACTTGTCAGTTTAGGATGCTTTCATCTGCAGATGACAATCATTTACCATCCACAAAATTTTGTATTGAATTATTTGCCCAAGAAACAAATCATGGCTCTCTTTTATTGCCCTTTGAAACAGATAATCACGTGACTGAAGAAAGTTTTGAATATTTTATTTTTTGCTTTTGGAGAGCTGGGTTCTATTTGTAGGGATCTTTAATCTGAATGTGCTCACAGTTTATCTCTATTTGCCCTAGTTCTTTTTTAAACCACCAAAGGTTAATGAAATACATGAATGCTTTGCTAGAGGAGGAAACTGAGGCTAAGGTAAAGATAAACTTTGTTTTGTGATAAGACTTTCTAAAAAACAAATGTTCAAAGACTTTCTATCCTATTTGCTAGGAGGAGAAGCTTAGTCCTCCAATTAAAATCCAGCTCATGTTTTTAAATCATGCCTGAAGATCTTTGACCTTTGTTACAATTCATTTATTATGATTTCAAATTCCCTATTTTCCAGTGGTTCACCATGAGAGAAGAGCATGTCCACAGAGAGGGCTCCATAACAGAGGAAAATACCATCTTAGGTGCAGGGACTTGTATTTAAACCACAAGTTTCATTTTGACTTAGTGATCATATTTTGTTCTCACTGTGTTCCAGCATGGGTTTAAATTTTTTTCCCCCAAGACATTCTGATTTATCCAACATGACATAATTGGATCTAAACTTTTCTGCTTGCTGAAGTTGTCAATTCTATTTAGAAAAACAGAAAGATGAAAGAGACTTTTTACTTACAGGAATGCCAGGTTTCCCAGAAAGACCAGGAGCTCCTTTTTTCCCCTTAGGGCCCTGAAAATGGGAAGCACACGTGTCATTTGACAGTCACAGAACAGAATGCTACAGTAAGTACTCTCACTAACTAGTTCTGTATCACTGAGATTGTCATTTCACTTTCTGAGGGAGTCATACTGCTTTCACCTGAAAGTAGGAGATTTTGATCAGATCTCTTAGGAACTTTCTTCCAGTTCCAAATTCTATGATTTACAACCTTAAATCATACTTATAAAAGAGAACTACTTATTTAATGAATGTGACCAGTTATTGGGCAGAGCCTTTTTCAGTTAAATTTTTAAAAAAAGGATCTTAACTTATTATTTTAAAATAACATTTTTGTTACATTTTAGATATTCATAATGATCAGATTCATCTTAGGGAATTTGCATCCATACATAATATATCATGATTCTTCTTTTCCCCCCAATCCTCTCACCTCCCTTCAACTTCTCTTCCTCTCTTTATTTACAAGGCTTTGTTTCCAATTTTATCCTTGTATTCTTTTTTTTCTTCCTTTGTTTCCCCCTTGTTTCCTTTTCCACTTGAACATTTTATTCTTATTCCCAATATTTATCATATATTTTTGTCCTTTATTTACCCTTTTAGTTTCTCACACCAGAGAAACAACATAAGATTTAAACGTGTCTGATTTATTTCACTTAAGAGCATGATATTAAGATGCATCAATTTTACCTAGAACTGTCTCAAGTTTATCCTTGTTTATGGCAGAGAAGTGCTCCATTGCATAAAAAAGCCCCACATCTTTTTTTATCCATTTAACTGTTAAAGGGCATTTGGGCTGCTTCCACATTTAAAACTATGCTGCTATAAACATAAACATGCATATATCGTTCTACTATTAAGGTTTTAATTATTTTAGGATGACACCAAGAAGAATAGCTGGATCCAATGGAATCTCTAATTTTAGTTTTTTGAGGAATTTCCACACTGATTTCCACAGTGGTTTCACCAGTCTGAAGTCCCACCAACAGCAAAGAAGCATTTCTTTTTTTCTCACAGCAATGCCAGTGTTTGTTATTAGTTAATTTCTTTACAATAATCACTCCTTCTGGAGTAACAGCCACTTTGTTTCCTTTTGAAAGTAACTATTTGAAAGGATATTTATAGAATATAATATATTCTGGTTTGTGTTAAGAATCTGAAGGCAAAGTTCTTGCTTACAAGGCTCATATATAAGGTAATGGGCATGAACTGAGGACCTAAAATGTGCTTTTCTGGAAGCCCAAAAAGCATAATTGCAAATCTAGGAAGAGATATTTATTTCTGAAGGAACTGTTTGTTTTTCCATGTGTGTGATGTTTTAAGTCATAATTGATTTAGCAGCAACTGGTCTGCCACGATAGTTAGGAACTTTTCCCTTACAAATCATGCCATTGTTCTGATGATATCCTAAAGTTATTTTTAAGAAGAAAAATAAGAAGAGTGACCTGGTACACAAATAAAAAAAGATAGCATCATTATTGGACACATTTCTCAGAAATCATCAAAACTACTTATAAACATGATAATTCTACCTGCAGTATCATAAATTAAGGACAAACTGTGTCCAAAACTTAACAAGATTCAAAGAAAAGAAAAATTTTAGATGTTATGAATTTAAGCTTTTTAGAAAATATAGTATATGCAATCACAGGAAAAAAGAACATGTTCCTCAAAAGATACAAATTCAACTTTTTTAAAGAGTTTGATGATAGGGAGATATATGGTCAAGTACTCTACTCAAACATTGAAAATTATTTGCTTTAAATTTTTCTTCTAAGTCACTAATGCAAAATCTATCTAATGCTAAGGGTATCATGATGAGATAGTCAGTGGCCTTGGTTTAGTTGAGGTGTACATGAAACATATGATACTTGTAGCAAATAAAGACTAAATATTGAAAAATGTTCTGAATTCAGTCATCTTGGATAATACTAATGGTGATAAATCCTCAAATATGTTAACCAGGATGTCCACAGTATTTCCTCTTTATGCAAACAGATATATCTGTCCTAGACTCTTGATTTTCAAAACAGAATTTTCCTTGGCTCATGAATTTCAAACTGGTCCAATGAAACTCATAGTGGGATTAATAATTTGAGAAAAATATATCTTCAGCTTCAAAATCCTCTTAAAATATAAAAAAATTGACTCAAATATCTATTTTTCTGCATAAGTTAAAACAATGTTATAAGGGAAGAAAGTCATAGAATAAGTGCCATAAGAATAGACTCAGAATTATGATAATGTAATAAGAGTTTTTTTCTCTGTAGGAGGATATAAAATTATTCAAGTAGAGGGAAGAGAAGAAGAGAAACAGAAGAGAAGAAAGACTATTAGACACTGGAAGGACCAGAGAAGAGTCCTTTGCTCTATATCTTTCCCTCAAATCAGAGGATGAATACAAATAATAATACTATCATATTAAGTATGGAGATGTAGGCACAAGAAAATGCTTAGAGACTATTGTCTGCATTGAGAAGTCTACATAAAGTACCCTGAGTGCCAGCAATTTCTTTTTTTTTTTAATTTTATTTAAGGAGAAAAAAGAAAAAAACAGAAAAAAGGTACAAGTTATACAGAATTTCAGAAAAAAATAAGCAGTAGGAAATCACTAGTTAATTATATATTGTCATCTTAGAAATAGTTGTTTAAGTTACAAAATTAAAGCATATAGAGGGGACTTTCAAACAGTGAGACTGCAAACAGTTTTGTTCAATGATCCAACAAAACTCAGTAATATGGTTATCTATCTCATACACTTAAATATATATGCAATTATATCTTTTAGAGAACTTTCTTTTCCTTTCTTTTGTACAATGACAATTACACATTTTGGGTTTTATTACTCCCACAGTTATTACTTTTTTTTTTTTTTTGAAGAAAGTGAAACCAAATGTGACATACCAGGACAGAGTCAGTCAAATCAAAAGGATGGACATAATACATAATGTAAAAACAAAATACAAGGTGATTAACAATTACCATAATGCCTCTTGTTATCTTAAAAAGAATTGCCTATATCATCAGTTATAATAAAATTGAACAAAATAGTAAAGAGTAAGACCAATACAACCAAAACATTGGAGACATTAGAGGACTTCAAAAGAAGATAATAGTCAACCAGAATGGGCATCACAAGGAGTGCCAGCAATTTCTGCATGATATGTTTAGAGAGTGGAATGTCTCTCTGAATTCCCCAAGCACCCAACATAATATGAGGAGTAACAAAATGTTATCTCCATGTTGCTAAGTATAGAAGAATACAGCCCTGAGAGTCCTATATGAGGTGGCCTTGCTCTAAACTGAGATGAGAAAAGAGCTGTGCATTACAAGCATGGATCAAAGAATGTCTGCCCAGGTCAAGACAGATGCCAACATAATGGGGTGATGGTTATCAGGCCCCAAAGAAATGACGTATATTTCAATGGATGTTAATGTGAATGGATGGTGACGGAAGACTAAAGTCATCTCTCATTCCTCATCACCACTACTGCAACCATGAATGTTACTACAAATTTGTGAAAAAAGTAAATGGGGGGAAATTCTCAATCAAATGAAGAATATTTGCGTAGATGGAGATAAAGGCTGTCAACTGATTAGATTTTCACCTATTTGGTTTCTATCACCAGGTAAGATGTATAGTCAGGAAAGATGTAAAATCTCATACAGAATATAAAGCTATGTGTTTAGTATATGTAACACATGACTCTTATGCCAAATATTGAAATGACAAAATAAAAAAGATTCATGTATTACAGCAAATCAATTAAAGTTTGGGGTGGTCCTTATGTTTAGGGTTATTTCAAAAGAGTTAAATATTGTGGACTGAAATTTTCATCTATGGACCCATCTCCCATTTTTCTGAAAATGAGAATGTTATATAGAGTTGGATGAGTCATTAGGAAGCGACTCAGAATACCATTAAAGGAAAATTATGAATATGAGAAAGGTATAGTTTAGTAATGTGAGTAGGGCAGTTACTGAACACTAGTATTGTTTAACTAATATCAAGATTAAGATTTCTGATGTTCTTGGATGTTTAATTCAGAAAAGACTTCCTTACAATTATTGTCTCCATAACTATGAGAAAAGAAGACAGCTAGAAAAATCAGCCTTTCAATGGAAAGAATTACCTATCTGTCTGTCTACCTGTCTGTATGTCTACCCGTCTGTCTCTGTCTCTTGTCTCTCTGTCACTGTCTCTATGTTGCTGTGTCTATCTCACTAAAGTGTAGATCATTGTTACTGTTATGCACTAAATATCTACATGCTCCCACACGTTGAAATCTTAACCTTAAAACTACTGTCTAATAGTATTAAGAGGTTAGGCTTTAGGAAGTGAGATATTTAGAGTGGAGATCTCAGGAATATTGATGAATGTTATAAAGACTTCTAAAAACTCTAGCTATCTTTGTAAAACGTGAGGCACAATAAAAAGCTGACAGTGTGCATCAGGGAATAAGTCTCTTACCAGAAACTCACCATGCTGGAACTGTGATCTTGGCTTTCAGATTTCTGAACTATGTGAATATATTTCTGTTGCTTGTAAGCTACTTCATCTATAGTACTTTATTACAGCACTCTGAACTACAACAGTGCCTTTCAAATATTTATATATTTTATAAATCAAGAAGTGTTAATTATTTGATAGTTTTATAACTAAACTAAGATGTAACCACCAATAAACATTAATTTACAGAGGTGGTCTTTCAGTAGGAAATTACAGATTGGGCCAAAGGTAAAGAAAATGCCATATAAGGTGTTAATAGATGATTAATTGAGTTGGTACCTACACAGAAAAAAAAAGTCATTCTTCAACCAATCTTCCAAATTCAAATATAAAAAAGGTAGAAGTATTCTATGCTACTTTTAATCTTACATTATTTTATTTAAACATAAGTACCTCATAAATCAATGAACAGACTTTCTGTTCTCGTAATAGAAAAGGCAAATGAATTTTATATGTAGTCTTTAGACAGCATGTAAAATTGTGCTTTCTTTTTGCCTCACTAACATTGAAAAATTCATAGAGTGGCCCATTTGAAATAAAATCCATTTTAAAAAGCTCTATTCATCAAGACTGTATTGGTTGATAGACATAGAGAAGGTAATCAAATATCTTTCAAAAATGTGCATGTTAGTCCAAACCTTTATTTTTGTTTGTTGTTTTCAACTATTCGCTCAAATGAAGCTCAAGGATAGTTATTCCAGTACTTCGCTAGTTCTAACTTACTCTGAGTGAGCGACTTTAAAAAGTGAACAGATTTAGTGAAGCATACAAGATTTATTTTCCATATTTCTCTTTCCTTTTTTTTTTAACCAAGAAACTGCAATTCCCAGAAATCTGGAATTTTGTTGTTGTGGGAAGATAAGGTTTTGGCTTGAGTCTTAGTCTTTGGAAGCCATTTTAAGACAGGTTGCTTACATTTGCATTATGGAAGTCTTTAAAAATGTAGTGGTTATTACTTGCTGTCACTGTTTCTTTATAGCTGCCCACAGTCATATGCCCACTGAATACATTAGTAGGCTAGGTAAAAGTAATTATATTTTACTTAATTTTAAAGTAGTAGCTTCTGTATACTAATGGGAATCAGGAAACAAAGTTTCTAATACTGGTTCTTTTGGTAATTAGTTCTATGTCTTTAGATAGTTCATAATTTCTCTGGGATTTTCTTCTTCTGAAAAATTAGAAGGTTTTCCAGATGACTTTAAGGGGACATTTCATAATCCAAAGAATAAATTTAAAACTTTTCAAAAACAAGTTGACAGTAATTGGACAGAACCCATCTGGCCACTCTAGGTGTCTTTAATGAATAATACATAGTCAATGGTTATTCTTGTAGCAGTTCTATTTTAAACTCTCAGAGGCATTTTAATGTGTCCATGGGCTGTATACCAGCACTGATCACCCTGAACATGTAATCAGGTTCCTCATCCTCTACCACTCTCTAGGTCAGTGATGGCAAACCTTTTAGAGCTTTCAATGTTACAAATAGCTGGCACATGTGCTGTAGGTTCACCATTACTGTCCTAGTGCTGTCTGATCACCCTGAACTATTTTCAGCAAGAATCCTATTAAGTCAGTTTAGCCAGAATCTCTTTTACCCTTGAGTTTCTCCTTAGTAATTTTCCATTCATGAAAACTCACTCTGTTCCTTGGTTATAACTTTCTACTTGTATGTAGATGCTATATTCAGAGTTCAGCTCATTGTCTCTCCCCTACTGCAAAATCCCATTGCACCTTCTGTGATAGTTCTCAATAAAGCCTTCATTAGCATGCTTTAATATGTATTAATTAATATTTTTTCTTTAGTACGTTCTACTACAACAAGATAGTTTTTACTTGTAGTTTTTACTCTACAGTGCTGGTGTTTCTGTTTGAAACCAAAAGAAGAGACTACTAATTTGGAAAGTTAGGCAATTTTCACAAAGTTAGAGAAGTCTGCTGATAAAATAATATTTAGACAACAGTCAAAATATATGAGTCAATTAGAAACCTACAGTGATCCTATTCCAGAGGGATGAATGATTATTTAAATTGTAATAAAGTGACTGTCCTGTGCTTCTGTTTTCTTAATCCAACTTAAATAATTTTAACTTACTTGAGATCCTTGCTCTCCTTTTAGTCCTTGTTCACCTTGGTCACCTGGTTCTCCCTTTAATAGGAGTCAAAACAAAAGCACACGTAAAACAGATAAAATAAATCATATTAATATTAACATTTATAAATATTAAGATGAGAGATAATGCTTTCAAAACATACTGGAGGTCCTTGCTGTCCAGTAGCACCTTTTAATCCTGGAATGCCCACATGACCCTAGGAATAAAAAAAATTACAATAAATAGAGACATGTAATTTAGAGAATACTATACTATGACTTAAATTGGTAACAGAGTGTGGAAAACTCATTTAAACATTATAGAGATTATGATTTTTCTCAGAAATGAGACATCCATTAGATATTACGATGACTGCAAACTATTATAATGAACAAGTATCCAATTTTATTTTTATTTCTTATGACAATCAATATAGTTGGCTGAATGGTAGCCTCCTAAGAATGTCTGTGTATTTATTCTCAGAACCTGTGAATGTGACTTTATTTGGAAAAAGAATCTTTGTAGATATTATTCAACTAAGGATCTCAAGATACGATTGTCCTGGATTATCCATGTGAGCCCTAAATCAACTAACAAGTTTCATTAATGAGACTTTTTAACAAGAGAGGGCTAGGTAAAGTTACAGGGAAAGACTGCAGGGACAGAACCACAGGAATGCTGGCAGTCATCAGAAGCTAAAAGAGGCAAGGAAGGATCCTTCCTCATCCCACTAAAGGGAGAGTGGCCCTACCCACATTTTGGGTTCCAATTCCTGGTGTTTAGAAGGGAGAGAAAAAAATTTTGTTGCCTTAAGCCCTCCATTTTATGGTAATTTGTTATAACAATATCAGGAAAGTGATATGGTCATTTCTAAATATCCTTGGGGGACTGGTTCCAGGACCCAAAATTTAAGAATGCTGGAGAGCCTTATGTAAAATATAGTATTTTACATATAACCTATGCAATTCTCTAAATGACTTTAAATCATCTGTAGGTTATTCGTAATTTGCATATAATGTACAAATAATTGCTATACTGTATTATTTAGGGATTAACAACAAGGAAAAAAGTTTGTACATGTTCAGTACAGGTGTAATTCTTTTAAGACTTTGATCTGTGGTTGGTTGAAACTGAAAGAAAAAGACCAAAGGAACGAAGACTGTTTGAACAAGTTTCTTTTTTCCAATCTATTCCCCCTATAGAAGTGTGCTTTGGTCTCTATTTAAGATTGAAAGCAGTAACTGAATGCAGTTTCATGAAATATAAAATGATTCTGACATTCAGCAATCTGTCATCTCTCTAGTTTTCTAACAAGGAATGCTAAGCTATCCCATTTCCATTTTCAAGTATGTAAATAGAAACTAGCAATAATCTAGAGGCATGTCAGGTGAAATTTACAGTGAAGAATTCCACATGAAATCTCTTATTTCCTCTCCTACTGTCCTCTTTACCAAGACTCCTTTCTTCCTACTTTCTATATATTATAGAAAGAATGCCATAGAATTGACAGCAGAACTATCTGTTTCGGAGCTAGAAGAAGGAATTGGCTGTGTAGTTCAATAGTCTTTTACAGAAAAAATCAATGGAAGACTTTCCCTTTGCATCTATGGGGCAATTATTTATGGTTTCAAGTTTCAACTTCCTGATAAAGCAAATGAATCCTGTTTAAAGAAATAAACAGTATTAATAGATAAAAACTAGTTTTGGAAGTCTTTGATATACCACATGGCACACTAAACAGAAAACTATCACTACAAAGGACTCTGCTGTGTTTAAATAGCAAAACAGAACAGTCAGCAAAGATCCAGCATAGGAAAATCAAGATGGGGTATGGTTCAAGTAAATTCAACTCCTTGTGGGTCATTTATCAAACAAGTTTCTGGAAAGAAGTAGCTGGAAAAAAGCTTGAGTTATAAAGTACAGGAAGAGTGAGCAAATGAGCTAACTATGAAATTCAGAATTATCTGTGGCCAGTTATGGCTTTGCCACCAGCCTTGTACGAAGAAGTGCAGATGACTTTTCAGAATGGTGGTAGAATAATCAATACCTCGGTTGGTTTTGTGAAGTCTTAGCCCAACTCATGGTAGACAAACTAGTTTATAGAAATTTCACTATAAGTACTTAAATTTATTCCAACAAAAGTTGGCAATGATCATTCTTCT